TTTCTTAGATGATGAAGTGTGAAAATGAAGATAAAAAAATATTACTGTTTCTTTGTCATACTGCCTACTTTGCTTTGGAAGTAAGTACAGCCTGCCTCAGTGCCCTTTGACCTTGCAAAATATTTGTATCTCTTTAGCAAAAATCTTTAATGTATCTTGCCAAGCTTTTTTCTCTAATGTACACAATGGAGTTCTATGATGGGTTGAGCTTTCTCTCTAAAAGTGCAGCTGCATCGTCAAGAAAACTCAACAGTTAATTCTTCAAGTCCTCTTTTTCGCAGGGGTATTGCATCACTGTTAATTACTGTTGGGGTACTGTGACTCATTTGTATCAGTCAACTTTATCTTTTGCTGCCAAAAGACAGCATCTCTCTGGAGAAACTCATAACAAGTGTGGCAAACATCAAATATTTGGAGCGAATGGTGTATATAAAACTGCACAGGATTAAAAATGAAAGCAACTCCTCCTGCTTTCTTGAGAGAAAAGTTCAGTTGCAATAACAGTGCTCTGATTTACCCAGCAGACTTTTGCAGCTACAAAACAATCTGTTTCTCAGTCTGCACCCAAAATAGAGAGCTGCCACAAGTGTTTATACTAAAAGCCAAAAAAAGAAAAATCAGCCTCCAGTTGTGCCTGCATTAGTCTAACATAAATAAAACTATCTTTTGTGAAACACAACCAAACTCCACTGCAGCACAGGCTGGGCTTCCAGTGACCTGTAAATAACTACAGCCATGGCTTTGCTGCTTAGTGAATTTCATGCCAAATAATAATGGCAAGTGGCTACAAAAAATCAACCGTGTGTTGATGAGTGACAGAACGTGTCCTTTTGCTGTTGCTGTTGTCACTTTTCCAATGGAAGTACTTCTTGCTACTCTGTTCTTTGATGCTCGTTACATCCCCCAACCCGCCAAGCACAAGCACGACTATGGTAAATGTTGACAAGCTTTTTAAAAATTGTTAGTGGTTTTACAGTCTTTGTAATGAGAGACATTTTAGGTCTCCCCCTTTCATTTTCCTGTTTCCAGGATTCTATCAGCAAGGTAAGCCACCTTTCTGGAAGTTCTTTACTACATGAATTTCTCAGAAGCAGCCCCCAGACACTGGTTCTTGCAGCATGTGATTCCTCATCTTGTGGCAAGCAGGAACTGCTCAAGCAGGCTGAGTTTCTGTGAGCTTGACCTCCCTGTGAAAGATGAGGGGGCTGCACTCTATTATATCTTACAAGTATCCTTAGCTCTCTGGAAAATTTTCAATCCCATGATTAATTGAGCAAATCTTTTATGCCTCTGCTGTCTGTTCTTAAACTGAAAATAGTGACCAATGTTGTTTTGGCTGATGGTTAATGTCTTATTGTGATTGGCATACTGTTGCTGTCGTGTGGCTTCTACATAAAGTAGAATGTTAATTATATAGGTAACGTCTACTTTTTCTTGTCAGTTAATGATGTACAAGATGTATTGGGTAGGAGAGGGAACATGATCTCTCCTCTCTCTGATGGTGTCAGCTGAGATTCGAGGGTTCACTTGCACAAATTTTTTCAAGGTAGGTGAATCCAGCAAAGTGTTCCTTCTACTTTAGGAAAATATGAGAGCTAACATGCTTAAATTGTGACCACATGATCATACTTTTGGTGCATGTCATATTCTTCAAAGGTACGGACTGTACTGACTGAACAAGAGGTACGAAGATGTTATCTTGCTGCAATTAGGCAGCCAACATGAAGGCAGTCCATCCTTCAGACAGGTGTGGATTTAGGAGAAGGAGGACCTGCAAAGAGGTAGCTCTTTCCTTCTCCTTCCATGGTGGGTCAGGTGAGTTGTTCACTTTAGAAGCCACTCCAACCAGGCCTATCTGTTTCAGGATGTCAGTAGGATTAATTTCACTTCTCCACCAAGCAACTTTACAGCAACTGGGAACAGTTCCTGAGGATGCAGGTATGTGCCTTAAACAAGTGTTTCTTCCTCCCCTTTCCCTGGACAGACACTGAGAAAGCCCTTCATGTGCAGTCTTCACATCACCAGCCTGACCTGAAAGCCAATCCAATATGGTAAGCATGTGCTCCAAGCACCTTGTCCCAGGGGTTCTGAGAAGGAGCCTGCAGCCCCACAACTCAGAGCAGCCTGGACCTTGTGTGAAGTGGGTACACAAAGGGAACCAGCAGGCACAGGTATGGTGCCAGGGGACATGAAAAAGTTCTACTGCTCAGTCTTCCTCCAGCCCTGTTTGTACCTCCCCCTTGGGGCAAGTGGGGGCAAGGAGAATCACTCATATTTTCAGTTGGGAAACTCCTTCTTGCTTGGGGAAAATCCTCCTCCCTCCTCTCTCCCTTCCAATTAACAAAATAGTAATTAAAGACAGTATGTGCAGTTCAGAATGGCAGTAATGGACAAGAAAGCCCAGCTGCAATATTTGGGAAGATCCAATAAAAGATTCATTAGGATTCTTTCTGTTATTAGAAGTCCTGATGACATGAAGGAGCCTAATGAAACAGAAGACATGGCCACAAGAGTGATGAGTTTAAAAAACCCCAAACCTCAGTCCCAGCCCCACTGACACCATTCTAAAAATTAGACAATTAAGAGTAAAACCAGGAATGTAGCCAGAACTATTCCACCTCAAATAATAAACACAAGGATAAGTTGCCAAGTGAGGTCAAAGAAGCAAATGGTAAAGTGAGTTTAAGAGACAGTTAGACACTTTTATGGGGAGAGAAGGGATTGAAAGATACAGTGACAAAACTGGGGGTAGAGTTGAGATAAACCCAGAGGACAGGCACGGTGGGCCAATAGCCTCAGAGAGTGCTCCAAGCCCCAGTTGCTCAGGGGAGACTGACCAGGGCTGTCTGCAGAGTCCTGTGAGGGCTGCAGGGAAACTGCCGGAACAGCTTGAAAAGATGAGCCTGGCAGACAAAAATGGGTGTGCTTTTAGTGCACTGGTCCTAAGTGCTGCCCTTGGCTTCACTAGTGAGATGCTCTGACAGACCTACTAAAAAACGGGTTTTTGAAGAACTTACCCCCAAGCAGCTGGTATTCTTTCAGGTTACCAATGCAAAGCACAGAAAGAGACACCAAAATTAAAAACAGGAAGAAAAAAAACCCCTTTTGTTCCTTCCATTTTTCATGAAAGACTACTTGTAATATAGGAAAGAGCGAGGTTGGCTAGGGCATTATTCAGATGAGGCAAAGACAAAATATACAGAGGTTATGTTCCTCTCTGCTTGCACAAAGCTTTGCATACTTTCACGTCAGCACAGCCTGTGTTGATTCCCATAAAAAAAGCTGGCAGAAC